CAGTGAAAGGTACTATGGTAAAATTAGATTTATTTGCTTTCCCAGAAAGCAAATAAATAACAACATACATGTCAACTTGTACAGATTGTCCGTAGGTTATAAGGATTTATGTCATTTTGCAGGTAAACAGACGTATAGGGCAATCTGACAGATTTTTTCAAGTCTTACAGATTTGTTTCAAAACCTCATTTTCAAATTTATCTAAAGTGTCAGAGCCTGTAGGATGATTTAAATAACAATAAATAACATTGAACAGCCATCTTCCAACCTGTTCTGCCAGTAGAAATAAGTTTTGAACTTTTTCCGCCCTCCTTTCCTCCTGCTATGCAGCGGGCGCTCTCACGTCCTCAGCGAGGCTGACCCCACCCCCCCACCCCCACCCCGCAAGTTGTATGAATTTTTTTGCAAAATTTACAGATTTTTGCAGCTTTTTATACAGGTAAACGTCTGAAGAGGTTGACATGTATGGGACAACAAAATACAGACTTGTTGTTATTGAGTTTGTCAACACGAATCACTACCTGAGAGGCACCACTAGCCCCTCCCCCATCAGAGTGTCTAAGCAGGACAAGTCAGTGCAACATCAATCAAATGAGAGAGAGGGTGGGGGCGATTGCTGCATTGGGGGGGATGTTTTATGGGTAGAGTAGTTCATTTTTCCTGTAATACTTCAWTATAGTTTTTTAAGACAAAGCTAATTGAAAGGGGCGCTGAGCAGAGTTACAACCAGGGAGTACAAATAATTTTTTTTCTTCTGCAGTTCGGTGCCCCCCTCCAGCAGATGGCGCTCTAGGCGACCTCCTAGTTCACTTATGCCAAGAGCCGGCTCTGGGTGGGAACCAGAAACGCCTTTTGGTACCAGAAAAGCCCCTGGGACGTGTCTTTAAGCCGAGTTTCCTCATCATGGAGCACACCTCCCCACCCCCCACCTCACACACCCCGCCCATGACTCCTGCAGGCTCTCGGCAGTAACAGAGCAAAGTGAAAGTGAAACTTAAACTGTCTGCTTCTTCCAGACATTTAACACTACTGCTCACTCAGTGAAGCTCTTTTCAGATTCAAAATACCTTTGAGGAAATGTATTTTCAGATGCCAAGTAAACTGCATCATAGCGCGTGCACGACCCACCCCCTGCACCGAAATGGGACAGGACAGAAGCGGAAGGAGGTTCTTAAAGAGACAGAGGCCAATTCCAAGTCATTTAGAAGAGGAAGTGATGAGAAGAAAAATTTATTTTCTATTTAAACATAAAAACAGCATTTTAATAACAGCTAAAGGTGACATGGATGCTTTATTATGGTATAGTATTTAAATATATGCCTGAGAAACACATAATATTGCCCCTTTAAGTCCTATGACATGATGAATGACGTATCATTTATAATGTGTGTGTGTTTGGGGTTTAAATGTAAGAATGTTACAGTTTATTAAAAAGATTACAGCTAAGCATCTTCATGTCAGGTGCGACTGTGGCTTTGTCTCAGTTCATGGGCTGGGTCCTCATGAGCARGTAGCCACAAGATGTTTTCAGCCTGTAAAACTCATGAATTGGTTTTATTACTGCATTGTTTCTGTTAATATTCAGTCATTTTGAAATGTAACTCTATTTACCGTCCGATGCATCATAAACCTGCAAGATTAGTTTGTATTTTCAGATTAAATTATAGACTGTGGATAACTAATCCTTACATAACCTGAGATCTCCATCAGTCCCACAGAGAGATGAGCAGCAGACAGAACGGTCAGATCCTTTGAGCTCTCATTTGCATTTTTTTATTCCAGAAGGGACATTAAATCAAAATACTGAGGAACTGTTCAGGTTTTTATACCATCTGCAAAAAGCCATTATATTCCAGAGACATGCTCACACATACCTTCTAGTTAATGAGATGTGATTTTATTACAACGCAGACTTCATTTTTCACAGTCACAATCACAACTCTGCTCATGATTTATCATTTACCTTTACTATATGTCAGATATGAAGGATGTTGTGTGAAGTTCTTTATTTAGTGACCTTAGATTTATTTTTTTGTCAATCAAAAAYTGTTCTTTACTTCATTGGATGTGATAAAAAATTGTTTTAAATTGTATTTTATTTGCTACCAATAAAAATAGAGAATTTTCTCTCAACAGTGAAGCACCATTAAAGAGTGATGGAATTAACTCGAAAACCAAAGAAAAGAAAAAATGAAAACAAATTCAAWGAACAACTGAGAAATGACATTTTCTCTGAGAATGCAGTGTGTGCTCTGAACCACAGCTGAAATCTGATGAAACTGAGATGTTGAAGCAAAAGTAGAAAACTTAAGTTCTCAAATAGTGGGGTACATTCGGGGTGGGGGCAGTTAGGTGTGTGTGTGTGTGTGTGTGTGTGTGTGTGTGTGTGTGTGTGTGTGTGAGTGAATCTACAGGGGTTAAACAATGAAACTAAACACCTGTCATTTTAGTGGGAGGTTTCATGGCTAAATTGGACCAGTCTGGTGGCCAGTCTTCATTAATTGCACATTGCACCAGTAAGAGCAGAGTGTGAAGGTTCAATTAGCAGGGTAAGAGCTCAGTTTGGCTCAAAATTTTGCAATACACACAACATTATGGGTGACATACCAGAGATCAAAAGAGGACAAATTGTTGGTGCACGTCTTGCTGGTKCATCTGTGACCAAGTCTTTGTGATGTATCAAGAGCCACGGTATGCAGGGTAATGTCAGCATACCACCAAGAAGGACCAACCCCATCCAACAGGATTAACTGTGGACACAAGAGGAAGCTGTCTGAAAGGGATGTTATGGTCTAAAACCACCTGTTTCAGTTTTATTGTCTAACCCCTGTAAGTTCCTTAAGGCAAGACAGAAAATAATTGAGAACGATTGGCTTAAAGTGAAACATAAAAAGAGAAAACATCAAACAGAAAAGTTGAAAAATTAGAAAGTAGAAAAGTTTTACCTTTGTGGCCAGATAAAATAACAAAGACCATGTTTGGCCCACAGGTCAAGAGTTTGACATGCAATTCAGGTACTTTTCCAACAGAGTAATTTTAATTTTATTGACACAAATCTGAGCATGGACAGTTTGTCTGTGCCTAAGGCCGAAGTCACACTACAAGAAAATCAGGCCGATTTTTGCCCCTCCGACAATCTTAAGGAAGTCCAGATTATCATGATGGCTCTAAAGATAATCTGAGCAGATATTCCCGCCGTGTGTGGTGAGTAAAGAGCGATCTAGTCGGCTCGGAAGGATGTCGGGACCGCTCTGACCTCAAATCAGGGATATTCAACATGTTTGATTTTTTGGCCCGATATCACAGTGTGTGCAGTGTTCACCCGAGTTTTCAGCCTGTTGAATGAGACGTGTAGCCAATCAGAAAGCGATGTGACGTAAACAAAAACTGTCATGACTCATCAGGACGTCTGCTGGATGTTAAAAGTCCTATGGAACTGTTTTTCCTTTGGTAAWAATAGTCCACAAACGATCAACATTGTTTCTTCCTTGTTGCAAATGTTTATTTACTCTGAACTCACGTCTCTCTGGAGGTCACGTGAGATTTTTCCACTGACAWKTGAATTCTSGCYAGATTTCAGGAAGTCTCGCGTGATTTCATATCTGACATGTTAATGAATGAAATATATTTTCGTGTGTGGTGTGTTGTCTCTTACTGTGTGGCAGTGCACCACACTGTAGGACCAAACCTGGTAGATCCATGATTTTTTTGTCCTCACGTGTGGGCTCTGTCAGTCTTTGAAAATCGTCCGACTGTTTTAAAATCTTGCAGTGTGACTCAGCCTTAAGCTGTGGTGTTGACTCAGACATTTCTTCATCCTCCATTTTGTCCTCCTCTTCCTCTGCTGCTAGTTTAACCAGGAGAGCACAGTCTGCTCCAGGACTTCTTTTTATTTCTTTTATCCATCTTTCTTTCTTTGACATAATGCTGCACATGGTAAATTAGCTAAATCAATGTTCTGCTGTTTAAGAATGTGAAGTGAACTGACAAAGAGCAACTTGGACACAGAGTAAAAAGGAAGTGATTTATTTACAATGTGTAAAGTTTTGGTTCAGGGGAGATCTGGAAGGGAAGGAGTACAGAGAAGTAACTTGAACGCAGATAGGAAGTCATGATATTGAGTTAGAAGGTTTTGCTCAATAAGCTTCACAGGTAATGAAGGCTGTGAGACCTGTGTTCATGTCCCCCGACTCTCACACATTTACTGTGGAGACAGACACCAGCTTCCTGTGACCCAGAAAGGAGATGCAGGTAAAATAAAATGGACTGATGAGTTTTACTCTGCGAGGTTTTTAAAGGCACAGTGTGTAGGATTTTGTCAATTCTTTTAGCCAAAATTGAGATAATCACTAATGACAATAATAAAAAT